TATCTTATCTTATCTTATGTTTGTATCCCTTCATCCATGTTGTGTTTAATGGGCTGCTTGTTTGACAGTAAAAGAACATGCATTACTTGTACAATAATCTCACCTGCAAGAATGTGCAAGACAGGCAGGACACCTGTACTTGGCCTCCTCCGATCCACACACACCACAACTGCAGGACAGACAACAAACGTTTTACAGTTTTCAATCTGATGAAAAAGGGACAAAAAAAAAGTGCAACAACTTCACAGAAAAACGGTACAACTTGTACACAGACATTCAGCAGTGAGGACAATCACGAGTTTAGGTGATATAACTTAGAAACAAGAGCTAAAAGGATGAGGATAGACAGACAATGAGAGCTTATAAGGTATATCTTATATCTTCTTCTTAGCGCACAACAACACCAGCGTTAATATGTGCTATATTAATATCTACTACCTTTACATCTGGTCTACAATAGTTAAACGTGTGCTCGTGTAAGCAACCATGAAGCTGTTAGCTACGTTAGCTGTCTGTTAAAACATTTACTCGGAGAGAGAAATCTTCCTTTTGGTCCCCTTCGGCTCTTCTTCCGGACTGTCGTTGTCCACTTGGCTGTCCACAGTGGACATTATGTCCGTTGTTGGTTCAGGTACAGAGCACATTACAGGAGGACAGGAGACACACGTTGGACACAACCAAAACAAACCCTCTTCCGCCGGTGGCCGCTTTCAGCCTCCAGCACACGTGGTGATGAGTTCCGGTGGGAAACCTGCTCTTTGGCGCCTCCCAGCGTTACAGGACCGGAACTACAAAGTCCTCCAGTGGCGTCTTAATGAGATACTACATTAAAATAATGCATACCGAACTGACAAGAAGGCAGTCGACAAATAGTGGTCTTTTTCTCGTGTTTTTAGAGTAACGTGTTTTTACCGACACGTGAAGAGTTGTTATAATGTCATATTTCTTAAAGGGAGTTTGGTGCAGGGAGCTTTTAGTGGAATTCACACTGATAATGTGTATAATTACTACACAAACATGAGGTAACTGTTAAAGTATGATAAGGTTGTCTGACATTGACTGCTGTAGTTATTGGTTTGATAAATGGTTTAATGATGTGTGTATTGATTACTACGGAGCCCCCCTGGTGACATTGGATTAAAAAACAAACTGCGTGGCTACCCTTTATTCCTACATTAAAATAAAATGAAATTAATTCAAACTTGTCCATGTTATCAACAGTCTCTGCATGAAAATGACTGCAATAATTATCTCGTGGCCACGCATTATTTTTTTTTTAATCAAATGTCACCGGGGGGCTCCATAGATTACTGACAAAAATATACTAAAAAAGTAAACAGAGCACAGACAGTGCAGAGCTTCTCTGTGAATGTTCTTGTTGGACAGTAACTACAAACTCTCCTTATATGCCCAGCTGCAGATTGTTTTTAAAACCCTCATGCAGCTGTAAGTGTATGCAGTCATGATCTGCACCAGACTTGAGGTGTTTATTTGCAAGTCTGGTTGCTCACCATCTAATGCTTATGTAAAATGAGATTATTGTGTTGGGGGTGGGTGGTGGGAGTCCTAGCAGATTGACATCCACTTGTGTGCATGTGAGAGAGAGAGAGCATGTGCAAGTGCCATTTGATCAGCAGTTTCTAAAACTCTTAGTTACTTGCTTCCATCTGCAGTTTAAATAGGGAATCTGTGTTAGAGGGGTTAGCACAAGAGTAGCATCCAGCCATGTGTGAAATACTCACACTTCACATCATATGGTTGCCCTCACTATGTTGATTTTGCACTGTACCAAAGTAAGATGACAACTTTCCTGGATTTGGACAATGAGGCCTAAATATATCTTAAATGTTCATCTGAAATGTGGTCTTTAGTGTGTAAGCAGTTGGGGTTAAAGTCCTACTGTAGCTCTAGGGCACCTCACAGGTTTAAATGAGGTTTAGACCATCATTAGTCTAAAATAGATTTTTCAGTATGACATAATTTATATGTATAACTATATATAGCTAATACTAACACTGGATAAACATGACTTATAACTGGAAAGAGCCAGGGGTATACAAGTTTATGGATCTGTATCCAGAGCTGTATAT